TATTCAGGTCCTTTGCCCATTTTTTAATTCGATTGATTTTTTGGTGTTGAGTTTTGTAAATTCTTTATAAATTTTGGATATTAACCCTTTATTGGACGTATCATTGGCAAATATATTCTCCCATTCAGTGGGTTGTCATTTCATTTTGTTGATGTGCAAAAATGTTTGAGTTTGATGTAGTCCTATTTGTTTATATTTATTTATTTTTGTTTCTCTTGACTGAGGAGATATATCAAAAAATATTGCTATGAGAAATGTCCAAAATTTTACTGCCTATGTTTTCTTCTATGCCAGTGGTTCTCAACCTGTGGGTCATGACCCCTTTGGCGGTCAAACGACCCTTTCACAGGGGTCGCCTAAGACGATCCTGCATATCAGATATTTACATTACGATTCATAACAGTAGCAACATTACAGTTATGAAGTAGCAACAAAAATAATTTTATGGTTGGGTCACAACATGAAGAACTGTATTTAAAGGGCCAGAAGGCTGAGAACCACTGTTCTATGCTTTTTATGGTATTAAGTCTTACATTTAAGTCTTTAATCTATTTTGAGTTTAATTTAGTACATGGTGTAAGTACATGGTCTAGTTTCATTTATTTTGTACATATCTCTTCAATTTTCCCAACATCATTAAATGAACAGACTGTTTTTACCACATTGTATATTCTTGCCTCCTTTGTTAAATATTAATTGACCATGACTTTATTGAGGTTGGGTTTATTTTTCTGCTTTCTGTTCTGTTCCATTGATTAGCATGTTTGTTTTAATTAGAATAATATGCTGTTTTCATTACTATGGCCTTATAGTATAGTTTGATATCAGGTAGCATTATTCCTCCAACATTGTTCTTTCTTAAGATTGCTATGTATTCAGGCTCCTCTGTGGTTCCATATAAATTTTTGGAATATTTGTTCTATTTCTGTGTGGTATCCCATTGGTATCATGATAGGAATTGTGTTGAATCTATATACTGCTTTGGCTATTACGGAAATTTCGTGATGTTATACTAGTATATTCTTATGCACGAACATGGTATATGCTTCCACTTATTTGTATCTTCATCAATTTCTTTTTTCAGTGTCACATAATTTTATGAGTACAGGTCTTTTACATCCTTGTTTAAATTTATTTCTAGGTATCTTTTTTGATGCAATTATAATTGGGATGATTTTCTTAGTTTCCCTTTTGATAGTTTATTATTGGTGTATAAAAATCAACTGACTTCTGGCTATTTTGTATCCTGCCACTTTACTGAATTCATTTATTTGCCTATTGTTTTTATGAAAGGACTATGAGCAGTTTTCACAAATATTTCATGTGCGTTTGATCAACAATATGAATTTTTGTGTAGAAAAATATATCTATATATATAAAAGCCAAGCGACCAGAACAACTGAAACAACAGGAATGACCAGTCACTATGACATGCACTGTGGCGGCCAACTGCCCCAAATTGGGGCACCAATTTCCCCCACAACCTCCCACGTCCCCTCGCCTCCTCCCCACTGACCCGGCCCCAGTCAGTCCCCATTGGGACGGGCTGGTTGGATCCCACCCATGCACGAATTCATGCACCAGGCCTGTAGTGTGTGTGTGTATATACATATACATTTATGTATATGTATACACACACACACACACACACACACATACATATATATATATAACTTGTTAATTATGTTGTGTTTGGATCTTCTCTATTTTTCCTGGTATTTTTCTGCGCCATAGGTCTATATCAGTGATGGCAAACCTTTTGAGCTCAGCATGTCAGCATTTTGAAAAACCCTAACTCTGGTGCCGTGTCTCATATAGAAATTTTTTGATATTTGCAACCATAGTAAAACAAAGATTTATATTTTTGATATTTATTTTATATATTTAAATGCCATTTAACAAAGAAAAATCAACCAAAAAAATGAGTTCACGTGTCACCTCTGACACACGTGTCATAGGTTCACCATCACTGGTCTATATCTTTGTTTTTCTCCTAGTACCATCCTATTTCAATTACTGTAGCTTTTTAATATATTTTGAAATCAGGAAGTGTGATGCCTTTAGCTTTCACCCCTCCCGTCCCTCAAGATTGCTTTTGCTATTAAGTCTCTATGTCAGTGGTTTTTAACCTTCTAGCCCTTTAAATACAGTTCCTCATGTTGTGACCCAACCATAAAATTATTTTTGTTGCTACTTCATAACTGTAATGTTGCTACTGTTATGAATTGTAATGTAAATATCTGATATGCAGGATGGTCTTAGGCGACCCGTGTGAAAGGGTCGTTCGACCGCCAAAGGGGTCACGACCCACAGGTTGAGAACCGCTGCTCTATATGTACTTTAGGGTTGTTTTCTATTTTGGCTTTAAAATCGTTTGAATTTTGATAGGGATTGTATTTCATTTGTAGATCCCTTTATTTTTTTTTAATTTACTAGTAAAGGCAGTGTTTATTAAAATACATTTCATTTTCAAAATGTAGTAGAATTAGCTGTTAAGTGCGTATACATTTTTGGGGGACACCTTGTATTTTCCGGGTAGAATGACAAGAAGAGTGAAAGTGAGGTGGAAATCACTTTTTAACTTGCTCTAATCTTACATATATATATGGTATTTCTCAAAATATTTTCCAAATGTGTTAGATCCTAACATGTGAGGTTCATGATACCACACTTAGAAACAAATTTTAAAAACCAGTTGGAGAAAAACATCCTAATATGCATCCACTTTAGCATTCCGTCCTTCCTTCCTCCAAGAGTGAAAAAAGAAGAGCCCTTCAGACATTTCTTAATTATAACAGGAGGCTTGGTGAGGCCGGCACCGAACCTCAGAGCCTTCTGGAAAATAGAACAGAAATAGCCTTCCTCCCCTTAACGTTTGTATTCACTTATTATCATTGGGATTGAAGAGTGTCCTGAGGAAAAAAGACTAGAACGATTGCACTATTGGAATTCAGACATAAATGTGATGAATGGGTGGCCCTAGTGAAAGACTACAAGTAGGAGCCATAGGGCTTCTGAGGGAACATTAGAGCTAAAGCATAAAGTCAACACGTTACAATCTTCTATTTACACTTAGAAACATCAGAGTTGGTGCCAAGAATTGGTGAAACTTCTTTTAGACTTTTCGTTTGTACGGAGGGCATAAAAACACCTGGACTCAGAGGGCTTGGGAAAGGGGTTTTCCCTGAAGAGAACTGTGCTATGCGACCTTTGGGTTCCCCGGGTTTGGAAGGGTGGGGGGACACTTGCCCCTCATCACAAGCTAGTGATCAGGATTTCAACAGGACTGCAGAGAACACACGCACTGGTGTCTGATTCTCACTTTAAACTTAATGAGTGAATGAATACAGCAAAAAGTAAATGGCGGCATGGGCAGCCTATACTCTCAGGTTTGGTCAATGGGAAAAATGGGTGAGTGTTTCCCAAGGGCAGGGCTACCTAACCAAGAATGAATGTGGGGTCAGCTTTGGTTCTGTCCAGTGAGACTTCCTGGAGGGTCACACAGGCCCTAGTGGAGAGAATCTACAGATCGCACCAGGGATCCGTGGTGTTCCTAGACTGATGACCTTCCACTCTGTGGCTTAATCCCTTGTTTCTCCTGCTCCCTTCTCCTCCTTGCTCTCCATTTGTAGATCCCTGTAGATTATATGGACAGTTTAACAGTTACAAATCTTCCAATACATTAACACAGGACATCTTTCCACTTACTGGTGTCAGCTCTAATTTCTGTCATCAGTTTTATAGTTTTCAATGTACAAAATTTTTACCTCTTTGGTTAAGTTTATTTCTAAATTTTTTTTTGTTTTTGATGCTAGTGGAAATGGGATTGTTTTCTTAATTCCCTTTTCAGTTATGTTATTAGTCTCTAGAAACTCAACTTATTTTTCTATGTTGATTTTGTGTCATATAACTTTGCTGAATTCATTTAATTAGTTCTTTTAGTTTTATTAGTTCTAATACTGTGTTTTTTGTGTGGAGCCTTTAGGGTTTATATATGATTATGCCACCTGGGAACAGAGAAAATTTTAGTTATTTATTTGGATGTATTTGATAATCTTGAATATTGTTCTTATCAGGACTGCTAGTATTATGTTCAATAGAAGTGACAAGAGTGGGCATCCTTGCCTTGCTTTAGGTCTACCAGGAAAAAGCTCTCAGTTTTTCACTTTTGAGTATGATGTCAGCTGTGAGCTTCTCATATATGACCTTTATTTTGCTGAGTAATTATTTTTGTATATATAATTTGTTGAATGTTTTTATTCTGAAAGAGTGAATTTTGTCAAATGCTGTTTTTGCATCTATTGAGGTGATTAGATGATTTTAAACCTTCATTCTGTTATGTGTTATATTACATTTAATGATTTTCATATGCTGAACCATCCTTGCATCCCAGAGATAAATTTCATTTGATCATGATGTGTGATTTTAATGTACTGTTGACTTCAATTTGAATACATTGAGGATTTTTCATCTGTGTTTATCAGAGATATTGGCCCATTGTTTCTTTTTCTTGTAGGTTCCTTATCTGGATTTGGCATCAAGATAATGGTGGCCTCCTAAAATGAGTTTGGAAGTGTTCTTTACTCTATAATTGTTTTGGAAAACTTTTGAAGAGGATTGGTATTAACTTTTATTTAGATGTTTGGTAGAATTCACCTGTGGATCTACCTGGTCCTAGAAACTAGGATAGGAAACATCAGGTTCTGGAGAAATAGAACCACTTCTTACTGTTATTTCTTTATTTTCTTGTGTTTTAAAAACATATTGGAATTTCATTAGATATTAAGTAAATTAATAGATAGAAAAATATAAACAATATAATTTTCTTTATCTCAAATACATAATTATTCATGTATCAATCTTTAAGTCTTAATAAGAAGAAAATTAGGAGAAAGGAGTAATGCTGTTATTTGCTTGATCTTCACATTATTAGGTAGCTTAACATTAAAAAAAATCCTTTTCTCCATAATTGGAGTTGAATATACACTCTTTGTAGAAGAATGGATTTCTTGACATTCAATCAATTTGCCGTGCTTCTCTGGAAAAATTTTACCATAAAGGTAGGTAAAAGCATTCAAGGAAAATTTCTATAAATGCCTGCCTGTTGCAATTCAGGATATGTGTGTTTTAAAAATCAATTTAATAGCTGTAGGTTGCTCTTCCAAACCTATAAAACTATATTAATCAATAGTATAGTCTGATCTATAAGAAGGTTGGTAGTGGAGAGGGGAGGGGGGGGTACAAGAAAGTCCAGGAAAGACTAGTATTTTCTAGTATTAAATTAGAAGAATATAATAGAGCTATTCATTGGCATTTAATGGGTACTCTTAATTAACACTATCTTTTGTTCCTCTTCTAGAGAAGGCATTACATTAATTTATTATTTGAAGTCCTGACAGCAGTGGTGTTTCCAATGCTGCTTTTGCTGTTCCGTTCACTTACTACTATATATGTTGCTGGACCTCAGTATTTTAAACCTGTACACGTCAGTGGTTTGCCTTCTTTCCTCCAAAATCCTCAAGAGTGGGAATTGATTTACGTGCCTTCTAATATTAATGTGGTAAAAGAGATCATTGAGAACATGAAGATGAATTTAAACATCAGTATAAAAGGTTAGAAATAAAGGTTTTCTGTAAAACTTATCCTTAATTTGTTATAGAACTAAAACAATCCTATATAATAAAGAGGTAATATGTAAATTGACCATCACACCCTTGCACAAGATGGCTGCCCCCATGTGGTCAAAGATGGCCACCACAAGATGGCCAGCAGGGGAGGGCAGTTAGGGGTGATGAGGCCAGCAGGGGAGGGCAATTGGGAGGGACCAGGCCTGCAGTGGAGTGCAGTTATGCAGTTACGGGGGACCCAGGCATGCAGGGGAGCAGTTAGGTGTCGATCAGGCTGGCAGGGGAGTGGTTAGGGGGTGATCAGGCCAGCAGGCAGGAGTGGTTAGGGGCAGGCAGGCAGGCAGGCGAGTGGTTGGGAGCCCACAGTCCTGGATTGTGAGAGGGATGTCCGACTGCCTGTTTATGCCTGATCCACTGGGATCAGGCTTAAACAGGCAGTCGGACATCCCTCAAGGGGTCCCAGATTGGAGAGAGTGCAGGCTGGGCTGAGGAACACGCCCCCCCCCCCCCCGCACAAATTTCATGCACTGGGCCTCTAGTGTAAGAAGTAATAAAGTTGGAGGAATTACACTTTAAAATTACAATTTTAAGACTTATAATAAATTGTAGTGTTAAAGACACTGTACTATTGGAGGAATAGACACATAGAACAAAGAACCCAGTGATAGACCTACACAAATAGTCCAGAATATTTTTTATAATGGTGCAAAAGAATTCAGTGGGAGGATAATTTTTCAACAAATGTGCTGAACAATTGGACATCAATAGACAAAACAATAAAAATTGCATCAAAATGAATCAGATCTAAAAGTAAAATGATACAAAATTTGGAAAGAAAATATTTGTAACTTAGAGTTAGTTGAAAAATTTTCAAATATGACACCCAATGTATCATCCATGAAAGAAAAAAAATGGATTAATTATGCTTCTGGTATATATGGTTGATCTTGGAGTTAAAATATACATACTTAATTTTCACACTTTACCTAGTTTACCACTTGTCATAATGTCAAATGATTACCAATATATATAGATCCCTTTATTTCTCTTTATGTTGTAGTTTTCAAATCTACATAAGTTGAAAATCTTACCAGGAAATGTTATAATTCACACACATATTTTAAAGAACATAAGAGCCAAAACCGGTTTGGCTCAGTGGATAGAGCATCAGCCTGTGGACTGAAGGGTCCCAGGTTTGATTCCGGTCAAGGGCATGTACCTGGGTTGTGGGCACATCCCCGGTGGGAGATATGCAGGAGGCAGCTGATCGATGTTTCTCTCTCATCGATGTTTCTAACTCTCTATCTCTCTCCCTTCCTCTCTGTAAAAAATCAATAAAATATACATATATTTTTAAAAAAGAACATAAGAAAACTATTTTTCGCATATTTACCATAACTGTGGCTCTTCCTTGATTCTCGAAGTTCCAAGTTTTCTTTTGATATCATTTTCCTTCTTTCTGAAGAAATTCCTTAAATAATTTCTTAGAATAGGTCTATTAGTAACAAATTCTCTTTGTTTTCCTTCATGTGAGGATGTATATATTTCAACTTCATGGTCTTGAGGTTATTTTCATTTGTTATAAAATTCTGGATTGACAGTTATCCCTTTCAGCATAAAAAAAAAATATTTTCCACTTTCTTCTGATCTCCTTGGTTTCAAAGAAAAAATATCTGTGATACTTTGAATCCTTGTTTTCCTATATATAATGTGTCATTTCTCTCTGGGTGCTTTTAAGACATTTTCTTTCTTTGTCTGTCAAAAGTTAGATTATGATATGTCTGAGCATGGATTTCTTTTGGTTTATTCTGTATAGAGTTCACTGAGCCTTTTGAATCTGTAAGTTTGTCTCTTTCAACAAATCTGGAGAATTTTGGGCATTATTTCTCAAATTTTTTTTTCAATAAGGCCTTCTTTCTCTTCTAAGACTATGAAGACATAAATGCTAGACATTTTGTATTTCCCAAAAGAGGCTCTATTCAATTTCTTTTCAAATTTTTTTCTCTCTTGTTTCAATTAGGTAATTTCTCCTGATCTGTCTTCACTGACTCCTTTCTCTGGTATTTCAGTACAGCTATTGATCCATAAATAGTGTTGTTTTTTTTAAAGTACAGTTTTAAGTGATCGCCATCTTCTGATTTACCTAAAAAAAGAGAAAAAAAACCCAATAGCTTTTTTGAGATATAATGCACATACCATACATTCACTCATTTAAATTCAATGGCTTTTAGCATATTTCCAGAGTTGTGCAACCGTTACCACAATCAGTTTTAGTGCATTTTTTCATCAAAAATAAAGTCGCATAACCTTCAGTCAGGACACCACCATTTCCTATCTTCACCAGGATTAGGAAAACATCTACTTTTTTTCCAAATACATTTGCCTATTATAAACCTTTTATATAAATTGTTTATATACACCCTTTCCATATTGATTTTATATAAATTCAATATGTAAATTTTTGTGATTGGCTTCTTTCACTTCATATAATGTTTTCAGAGTTTATCCTTGTTATAGCATGTATCATTACTTCATTCCTTTTTGTTGTTAAATATCCCATTGTATGAATATACTGTATTCAGTCGGTATATCCTTCATCAGTTGATGGGCATTTGGGTTGTTTACACCTTTGGGTTATTATAAATTGTACTTCTGTGACTACACATTTGTTAGTTTAATGTAGACATATGTCTTCATTTCTTTTGGGTATACACCTAGGAGTAGAATGAGTACCTCATGTGGTAACTCTGTGTTTAACTTTTTGAGGGACTGACAGGCTTAATTTAAAGTTGTACCATTTTACATTCTGGTCAGCAGTGTATGGAGGAACCAATATTTCAACATCCTCACCAGCACTTGTTGTCATCTATCTTTTTATTGTAGCCATCTCAATGGATGTGAAATGGTATCTCATTGTGATTGTGATTTGCATTTTCCTGATGAATAATGACTTACCTGTATACAGGGGTGGGCAAAACTAGGTTTACAGTTGTGACTACATGAAACACAGAGTTTATTCTTATATTATTACTAGAGGCCTGGTGCATGAAAATTCATGCACTGGAGTGGGGGTCCCTCAGCCTGGCCTTCCCCCTCTCACAGTCCAGGAGCCCTCAGAGGTGGGAGGTGACCCAGTGATCAGGGGAAGGCGATGCCCCCATCACACCTCTGCTGCTGCCACTGCCGGCAGCGCAAACCTCAGCTGGCCATGGTTACCTGAGCCTCGGGCAGCCCTAGGCAGCTGGGCAACCACCATCTGAGGCTTCCCTGCACCTCAGGATGGTCCTAGGCTGTTGGGCAGTTGCCATCTGAGGCTTGCTTGCGCCTTGAGCCAGCCCTGGGCAGCTGGGGGGCTGAGGGGTCGGGGGACTCCAGGGGCAGGTGCGCAGCAAGGCCGGGCCTATCTGAGGGAGGGCCTGGCCTTGCCGTGCACCTGCCACCCTGGCGGGGCTCAGGGGACTGGGTGCTGCCATCTTGTGGCTGTGGTCACCATCATCTTTGAGAGTGGGGCAGTCAATTAGCATATTCCTTCCTTATTGGCTGTGGGCACCTCCATCTTTGCAATGGTGTGAGGGTCAATTAGCATATTCCCTCTTTATTAGATAGGATTTATTAATTATTGTATTATTTCCCTTATGAACAAGTCTAAACCTACTTTTGCCTACTGTATATGCTTTATAATGATTATTATTTAAAATTATAGTAAAATTTTATAAAATACCTAAAATTGTTTTGAACTCCAAATTCCATTAAGTAGTTATGATAGCAATATTTGAGAAACAGTGTTTTTAAACTTATAATATTTAGACAAAATTTTGTCCATGTAAACTAGTATCTCCCCCCTCATGAGGAATTATCAGACATTTTTATTTAAGTGAACACTTTTCCTCTCTACAGTTAAAGGCTTTTATTCAGAAAGTGAGTTTGAGAAGTATGTGAAGTATGACTATAAATCTCAAAAAGTGCTGGCTGCCATTGTTTTTGACAATGACTTCGAAAACATCAATGACTCTCTGCCACTTCAGGTGAGAAAGTTTTATTTACAATTTTCTAATAATTTCCCTTCTAGTTCCTAAAATCTTAATGAATTTGACAAAATTAACTCTATTTTATAAATGAAAAAACCAATTTTTCCAAGAGGAAACTGCTAGTATACAGTAGAACAAGAATATGAATCCAGATCTTGTGCCTTAGATTTATGGGAAACTTTGACTACTCAAACAATGCTTCTGGTTCTATGAAGCATGGTGGTGTAATAAATAAAGCAGATGCATCTTCACTAATAGACAACCAGTCATGAGAAAAAAATCCTCTTTCTTTGAATGAAACAGAATTTGAGTCCTTTCATAAATCTCTAGGGAAAACTCTAAGGCTTTGCCACACTGATTTAGAATTAGGTCATCTATAGGCATTGAGAATCTGATTATAGCATAGCCACTGGGAAGGAGAGAGAAAGTGCTTTGAAATTGTTATCTCCTAAGAAGATCCTATAGAGATTATATTGGTGGTGGTGATGGAAATAAATGGTCAGTCTGCAATATATAAACACTAGAAGCCTGTTGCACGAAGATTCGCGCAATAGGCCTTCCTTCCCCTGGCTGCTGGCACTGGTTTTCCTCCGGCACCCGGGACCCAGGCCTTTGGTCCGGCTGCAGCGGAGAAGCCAAGCCTCTTCAGTTCTTCAGTCTTTAGTCTTCAGTCTTCACTCTGGCTGGAGCCTCCAGTCTTTGCTCTGTGCCTGTGTATGCAAAATAACCGCCATCTTGTTGGGTTAATTTGCATACTCATCTGATTGGCTGGCGGTGTAGTGGAGTGACACCAATTTGCATGTTTCTCTTTTATTAGTGTAGATGGAGCCAAATTCTTTGTTTAAAATACAGATGCTTGTCAGTTTAAGGCAATATTAATAAAGCCACTACTAGAATAGTTCATGTTATTTCTGTGTGTCCCATCCTTACATGACTATTCTTCTGTTCCAACTTCTTTCCATTTATGGAATCAAAATTATCCATATGCTTATATGGGTTTAGGCTCAACAATATACATTGGCTTAAAGTATATTCAGTGCTATTTCAACTTTTATTTTTATCACTGATTGACTGTGCTATGTCCCCAAATATTTGAACTCGATTCCTGACACCAAAATTTCTCAAATTTTTTGCTCAGGTGCTTGGCCTTCTCCCCCAGTTTTATTTAGATACTAGTGGCCTGGTGCACGAAATTCATGCACATTAAAAGGAGATTAATTAGATTTTATGAGACTGATGTGCTGCCTACTGCGCTAAGAGGGCCCCCTGTTAATTAGATTTTAATATTGCTATTTGCCCTTTCTCTATAACATTATATTTAGATTTTTTTCTCTATAATAGAATTATCAGAGATGAAAGAAAATTAGTAAAATGTATATAAAAATCTTCCTCCTGTCAGAGTCTGGGGTGCACCTCGGGACCCAGAGTCAAGTCCCCACCCACCTGCGTGTACCTCAAAATCGCATGACGCCAGACCCAGTCAGCCCCCCTCATTGGGCTAGATCCAGACCTGGCTGGTCCCACCCTTGTCAAGCCCCACCAGGTGGGGGGCACAGCCTCAGGTCCCCTGGCCTGGTGCCAGGGTGAGGATGTGGCCTGAGGTCCCCCAGCCTGGGCTGGGGCAGGGGGCATGGCTTGAGATCCCCTGTCAAGCCGCACTGGGCAGTGGAGTGGCCTGCCATCCCCCAGCCTGGCTCTGGGGCATGAGGTGCAGCCTGAGGGTCCCCTGTCAAGCCCCACCGGGTGAGGGGTGTGGCCTGAGGTCCCCTGGCCCAGCACTAGGGTGGGGGGCACACCTTGATGTCCCTAGTTAAGTCCCACTGGGTGGGAGGCACAGCCTCAGTACCCCTGGCCCAGTGCCAGGGCGGGGGCATGGCCTGAGGTCCTCTGGCCTGGCACCAGGGCAGGGGGCACAGCCTGAGTTCCTCCAGCCTGGAGCTGGGACAGGGAGCAACCTGAGGTCCCCTGGCCCAGCACCAGGGCAGGGGGTGCACCTACAGGTCCCCTGTCAAGCCATGCCTGGCGGGGAGCACAGCACCAGGTCACCTGGCCTGGCGCCGGGGTGAGGGGCATGGCCTCAGGTCCTCTGGCCCAGTGCCAGGGTGGAGGGCATGGCCTGAGGTCCCCAAGCCCAGCACCAGGATGGGAGGCGAACCTTGAGGTCCCCTGTTAAGCCCCGCCATGTTGGGAGACACGGCCTCAGGTCCCCTGGCCCAGTGCCGGCTGGGGGCATGGCCTGAGGTCCCCTGTCAAGCCCCACTGGGCGGGGGTGTGGCCTGAGGTCCCCCCCTTAAGCTGTGCAGGGTGGGAGGCGCAGCCTCAGGTCCCCTGTCAAGCCCCACAGGGGGCAGAAGGCGCAGCCTCAGGTCCCTGGTGGGAACTCGGCCTCACCTGTGGGTGCAGCCATCTTTGTGGCTGAGTTATGGTCAATTTGCATATTCCCTCTTTATTATATAGGACTAGAGGCCTGGTGCACAAAAATTTGTGCACTCGGGGAGGGGGGGGTCCCTCAGCCCAGCCTGTGCCCTCTCGCAGTCTGGGACCCCTCAGGGGATGGGGTGGGGGTCCCCACTGGGGTTCTTGGCCAGCCTGGGTGAGGGGCTGATGGCTGTTTGCATGCTGGTCAAGCCCCCCCAGTGGGGACCCTCACCCCATGGAAGTTTGGCTAGCCTGGGTGAGGGGCTGATGACTGTTTTCAGGCTGGCAACCCCCCCTTTAGGGTGGGGTGTCCCCACTGGGGTTCCTGGGCAGTCTGGGTGAGAGTCTGAGCGCTGTTTTCAGGCTGGCCAAGACCCATGGCGACGGAAGCTCCCAGCCTCTCCTTTTTTTCTTTATTTTTTTATTCTGGGATTTATTTACCTTCTATAATTGTAACTTTGTTGCCTTCAATGGAGTTCAGAGCCCCGCGGCAGGCGGGAAGCTTGGCTTCCTGCTCGCTCCAGCTCCGTTGCTATGGCCGGCTGAAGCAGGTATCTGGGGTTTATTTACCTTCTATAATTCAAACTGTGTTGCTTTGAGTGGAGCTCAGAGCCAGCCACGGCAGATGGGAAGCTTGGCTTCCTCCAACACTGGAGCAACCAAGTCTCCTGCTTGCTCCAGCTCCCAGGCTGCCGGCTGCCATCTTGGTTGGGTTAATTTGCATATAGTCGTTCTGATTGGCTGGTGGGCATGGCTTAAGGCAGGGGTGGGCAAACTTTTTGACTCGAGGGCCACAATGGGTTCTTAAACTGGACCGGAGGGCCAGAACAAAAGCATGGATGGAGTGTTTGTGTGAACTAATATAAATTCAAAGTAAACATCATTACATAAAAGGGTACGGTCTTTTTTTTTTTTAGTTTTATTCATTTCAAACGGGCCGGATCCGGCCCGCAGGCCGTAGTTTGCCCACGGCTGGCTTAAGGTGTAGTGAAGGTATGGTCAATTTGCATGTTTGTATTTTATTATATTAGATAATTGACATATAATATTGTATATGTTTAAGATGTACAAGTATATATTGCAAAATGTTTACCACAATAGGTTAACTACATATTCATCCCCTCACAGAATTACCATTTTTGTTGTGTGCTGAGAATATATCTATCTATCTATATATATAGATATACCCCTTCCCGCAGCAAATGCCTTCACCCCCCTAGTGTCTGTGTCCATTGGTTATGCTTAAATGCATGCGTGCAAGTCCTTTGGTTGGCTCTATTGCAACCATCACAACCCCCCCCCCCTTCTTCCCTCTGAAGTTTGATGATCTGTTCCATGCTTCTCTGTCTCTATTTTTATTCATCAGTTTATGTTGCTCATTATATTCCACAGATAAGTGAGATTATGTGACAGTTATCTTTCTCTGAATGACTTATTATGCTTAGAATAATGCTCTCCATGTCCATACATGCTGTTCCAAATGGTAAGAGTTCTTTCTTTTCTACAGCAGCGTAGTGTTCCATTGTGTAGATGTACCACTGTTTTTTAATCCACTCATCTGCTGATGGGCACTTAGGCTGTTTCCAAATCTTAGCTATTGTGTTGCTATGAACATAGGGGCACATATATCCTTTCTGATTGGTGTTTCTGATTTCTTGGAGTATATTCCTAGAAGTGGGGTTACTGGGTCAAATGGGAGTTCCCTTTTTAATTTTTGAGGAAAGTCCATACTGTTTTCCACAGTGGCTGAACCAGTCGGCATTCCCACCAGCAGTGCAAGAAGGTTCCTTTTTCTCCACATCCTTGCCCGCCCTTGTCATTTGTCGATTTGTCGATGATAGCCATTCTGACAGGTGTGAGATGGTACCTCATTGTTGTTTTGATTTTCATCTCTTGGATTATTAGAGACTTTGAGCATGTTTTCATATGTCTCTTGGCTTTCTGAATGTCCTCTTTAAAAAAGTGTCTATTTAGGTCCTTTGCCCATTTTTGATTGGATGGTTTATCTTCCTTTTTTTAAGTTGTATGAGTTCCCTATAAATTTTGGAGATTTGAGATTGAAAAAGACACAATGAAATGGAAAGATCTTCATTGTTCATGGTTTGGAAGAGTCAACATAGTTAAAATGGCCAAATTATCCAAAGCAATATACTGATTTAATGCAATCCCCATCAAAATCCCAATGAGAGCCCTAGCAGGTGTTTTCAATGGTTAGAGCATTGGCCCATGCACTGAAGGGTCACAGGTTCAATTCCTGGTACCTAGATTACAGGTTCATCTTCGGTCCACTGGGGGGTGCACAGGTGGCAACCAATTGATGTGTTTCACATCGGTTTTTTTCTCGCTCTTTCTTCTTCTCCCCCTTTCTCTCCCTCCCTTCCACTCTCTCTAAAAAGCAATGGAGCCCTAGCTAGTTTGGCTTAGTGGATAGAGCATTGGCCTGTGTACTACAGGGTCCCGGGTTAGATTCCGGTCAAGGTCACATTCCCAGGGTTGCAGGCTCGATCCCCAGTAGAGGCATGCAGGAGGCAGCCAATGGATGATTCTCATCATTGATGTTTCTATCTCTCTCTTCTCCC